TCTTTTGAAATTGGGTTTCTCTAGACCATGGATAGTAGATCTGTGAAAGCAGGATAGGAAAGTGCTAGAGAAGTACTTTTGCACTTGATCCTAAGGATCCTGGATTGTCCAGGAAATGATCATTCCTCTCATCTAGACCATGTATTATCAGCTAGAGGTAGAGTAGGGTGTAGGGGTTCTATGCTGAAATTTAAGGTGGCCTCAGACCCTTGGGTCTATAGTATTTGGGGTTACTTTCTCTAAAATGCTGGTGTGGGTCACAGCTACTCATGAGACTATCTAGTACCAACTAGACTCCTTTTCTCATTATTAGCTTTGGGGAAACAGGGAAACCAGGAAGGGGAATGGAATGCCAAGGAAGAAGGAGTGCAGAAGCAATCTCAAACTAGAATCCACAGACTTCCTCAACCCTCCAAACAGAGTAACATCTACTGATAAAGCTCTGTTCCTTTTGTTCTTTTTTTTTTTTTTTTTTTAATGAAATAGTGTCTCCTTTTCAGGACAGCAATGCCTTATGGTGGATATGAGAAGGCATCCAAACGCATGACTTTCCAGATGCCCAAATTTGATTTGGGGCCCCTGCTGAGTGAACCCCTGGTCCTCTACAACCAGAACCTCTCCAACAGGCCTTCTTTTAATCGAACCCCTATTCCTTGGTTGAGCTCTGGGGAGCCTGCAGACTACAATGTGGATATTGGCATCCCCTTGGATGGAGAAACAGAGGAGCTGTGAGCTGTTTCCTCCTCTACTTTGCATCATTTCCCCTCTCTGATTCCAATTTGGAGAGGAAAAAGGAGCAGGATACCCCAATCTCCATTCCTTTTGGGAATGGAGGGAAAAAGGAGGGAGAAATCTGCCTTTTCATCCCTTACTCTAAGTCCCCACTCCAAGCACCCTTCCTCACCAGCTCAGAGCTCCCCTTCCACTTGCTCTGTATGAAACCTGCTCTTTGATGGAATTTGCTCTGCCACTGTTAACAGTCAATAAACTTCAAGGAAATGAACTCATTCTTCCTCTGGTATTTGAGGGCAGACGAAAACTGAGGCTAACAATGCAGAGAGGATAATTAAAGTCAAATACTACACATTCATTATTCAAATTTCAAAACCAGGCCTGAGCCCTGGTTACTTACATGCCCACGCCTACATCCACACCCATGAAACCACATTCATAGGTGTCCACAAAGACATACTTATTCAATAGTACATAAGACAATTGCTCGTACACAAACACATGTGCTAGCCCATATGTGAACAGTTAAGAAGCTATTGTGTGCTGTGGCTAGGAAATAGGTGTTGGTGACCCTGCCGTTAGTTCTCTTTATGTAGCTGATTAGAAATTGGGATAATCAATGATTACTCAATTATTACAGACTAGAACATACCATAAAGTTTCTAGATGACATCAGAATGGGCTTAGGAATATATGGGTCAAAGATTCATTTATTTAGATTCCCAAAAGGATGAGGTAGAATAGGGAGCCATGTTGGAATCCAGGAGGAAGTGGGAGAAGCCAGCTGCAGCTATACAGGGTCTGGCACAAATGCTGCCCCTTTTTAATTACAAAAGCTTTTATTACAAAATCATAAGCACGTAATTCTGTAACATAACAATATCACACTCCAGCACACCATATGACATTTTAGGTGAAATGTTCAAATTAAAGCTATAAATTATTACACCCATATTATTACCCTACCAACCACACTCAAGCATGTGTTACTTCTGCTGGATCCTGTAACATTCCTGACTTTGTATGAACACAGCAAGAAAAGATCTATGGGTGACAGGGGCACAGCAGTGGTTTCCAGAAAGCACTATGATTGGGAAGAAATAGTAAGAGCCAATAGGAATGAGTAACAGTTCTCTCTCTCTCTCTCTCTTTCTCCCCCTCTCTCTCTGGCATGTTTAAACAGGTTTTATGTTTTTTTATTATTATTTTTTATCAGTTCTAGGTGTACAGGATCACTATCTTGCAGTGAAATTACAGACACTCATTTACTTTACAAAGTGTTCCCCCTGATATTTCCAGTACCCACCTGATACCATACATAGTTATTACAATATTATTGACTATATTCCCTATGCTGTTCTTAGGTGCTGGTGACTATTAACATTTCTCTTTTTATTGATTTCAAGCACAGGATTTCTTTAGAATCCCAGGACTTACTACTATGTTCCACAAAGTAAGAGTGATGCAAAGCAGGAAGAATAAAGAAATTACTTAATGAGTTCTGGGAAAATAAATTCTGAGAGCTGGTTAAAGCCAGTCAATTTCTCAAACCATTAAAGATTATATTAAGTCACTAGACTATGCATAGACTGATTCAATTTTCATGGCCCTTAGGTGACATGACCTTTACCCTGGTCACTTTCCTTTACAACCTAAATAAATTCCACAGGTTTCATACTTTCTGTAAACTTGTACATAAAACTCTATTTCTATGTACATTTTTCTAAGGAGAGTGCTGTCATAACTTGCACTTTCCCCCAAACAGGCCCTGAAACAAAAGTTTGAATGCAGGTAGCTAATTTAGGTGATTCCAGAATCCAAGAAGTATAAAGGAGTAGGAATAAAATCTAAAAAGGTGCTCTTGGCAATTAGGGCTGAATGACACTGGGGACTCGGAAGAACACTGTTCAAAGTGTGGTCCATAAACTGACAGCATGATTATCTCTTGGAAGCTTGGTTAAAAGTACAAACTCAAGAATCGATGGTTTACCAAGCTCTTGAGGTGATTCCTATGTGTTAGTAAATTTTGAAAAACACTACAGTAGTTCATACCTCAGAATTGCCATACTGAAGCGGGAGGGAATTGAAGTTTTTAGCTTCCAAATCCCATCTCTCATTGGCTGCAGATTACTACCAGGAATGTTAACTCTGGGCAGTTCCAGATAAAGATGTTTGAGGTAGGAAGCTATGGGCTTGTACATGATGTATCTACCAAAGCTGTAGTGAACTCTGCGGTTGACTGAGGAAATATGGGTAGGCCAGGATCTGAATAAGGGTCAGAGCTTTCATCAGGTTCTCATGTTTAAAAATCTGTGATCCCTCCCAAAAAGTTAAGGACTGTATTCCTTAACTTTTGTTTAGCAAATGTTTACTGAGTGCCTCTATATATTAGGTACTAGGTCAGACACCAGAGGTACAAAGACAAATAACAACTCATGTGACAAAGAGATTTCACAGTCAACCATGAAATAATTATTAAATACCTCCTCTTACGGTTGGGATTAAAAACAAAATTCAGGGTCTGTTAGTCAACAGCTCTGAAAACCTAGAAACTTAGTATTTCCAAGCTCATAATATGTGAAATCTTAAATATAACAAAAACATCATGATACAAGCTTACTAATTTTCAGGGAGCCCAGGTTGGTTGTGAAATTATTTCCTTGGAAGAAAAGTTTACTTGAAAGTCAAATTATCAGAAGTTGCAGTGGTGGTTTAATGCATTAAAGCACACATTTGCACAGGATCCAATCAGAAATCCAGTCAAATCTTCAAGCTTTGCTATCCATTTGCCTGGACATTATTCTTCTGTTAAAACATCCTTTCTTCACAAATATTTCATACATTTGAATACCACAGTTCACAGAAGTCACATATTGGCAGCAGAGCTAACTGTCTGTACTGCTCACACATCTGTTTTTCCATCATTGTGTTTCAAAACTCAGGAGCTCAGGAAAGCTCCCTGTCAGATAGGAGCTTGTGCTCTCCAGCAGGTCCTGGTCCCCACTACTACCTAGTGTTTTACACCAGGCCATCTTTTATTGTTACTTGCCTACACTCTGCAGCCATTTTACATAGCAAATTCAAGGGTTTCTTTTACATAAACCACATGCCCATAATACGTCACCCCTAAAATCACCCAGATAGCTCATTCCCCAGTTTAGGATCTAGAGCTTTGCTGTTTGATACTGTTGTCACTAGCCACATCTGGCCATTGAGCTCTTAAAATGTGCCTAGCCTGAATTGAGATGCTTTGTAAATATAAACAGTGGATTTTCAAAACGTAGTGTGGAAAGAAGAATGTAAATTATCTCATTAATAGTAAGATATGGATTACATGTTGAAATATTTTGAATACATTGGGTTAAAAAATAACAAATTAATTTCATATTTATTGCTTGTTACAAATGTGGCTACTAGACATTTTAAAGTGCATAACGTGGCTCGCAATATATTTCTACTGGCCTAGACTGAGAGCTATTCAGGGGCTTTGAGAGAAGAAAATCAGTTTGCCATTTATTATTTCTATTCCCTTATTTGTTCCCCTATGTTCTACTCTTCCCTGTTGAGCAATGTTAAGTACATCTTCTGTTCCAGATACTTCCCAGTCTGCATTTAAAATTGTCTGAGACCAGAGACAAAGCCCTACAACTAAGCGTTGACAGTCCCTAAGTAAGGATGTGTTCACTGCGTAGAAAGCAACAAGTGCAAAGTTCAAACCACACACCAATGCAGTCCCCTTCTGCATCCAAACACCTGTGTTTATGTTCCATTAAAAACAAACAAACAAAAAAAACACTTTTATTCCTATTTTGGTCAGGCTAACTGATGGGGGTGTGGCCCTCGTGGATAAACTAACATTTCTGTGGCACCAAATACCATTTGCAAACCAGTAGGCGAAGAACGGATGAAAACTTCCAGAAGGAAGGTAATGAGATGGGAAGGCCCATTTCTGCCTTGTTCGCGCCATCTCTGCTCGGCCTGCGGAAGGAAAATGCTGGTACAACGAAACTTCAGCCAAAGGCGACACTGCTCTAATTTTGAGGCACTTGGGAAAAGAGGGCCAAATCCCTGAAGTTATTCCGTGTAGGGTTCACTATACTAACATACCGCAGCCCCGACCGTCACGTCTGCTATAGCTATTCGACTCCGTCAGTTCAGATTCTTTCTGGCTCTCGCCCACTTCCAGAACTTTGCATACCCTCCCTGAGACTCCTTGCGGCCGCCATTTTACAATAACTATCGCGAGACATACTTAGCAGCCTGGGTCCTGACTCATTTACTTTATAGCGAGAGGCTCTTCTAGGTTGTTCTCGCCGTAGCAGAGGAAAGTGTCGCGAGAGCTGGTTGCCTTGGCTCCCTGTAGCTATAGCAGCCGCGGCGGTTAAGAATGCGGCGGCAGGAGGGGTGAGTGCGACACCCTCAGGGGGGCGGGGCTGGAGGTAATGGGGTGCAGGGGGTAGCGCCTGGAGGGTGGTGGGGACGGTCGGGTCACGGGAGGAATGGGCCCGAGTGTGACGTTTAGGGAAGGACCCGGTTCAGTGGTTACAGGGACAGGGCACCAGTCTGCTCTAGGGCACGCGGGGAGGGCTGGATCTGCTGGGAGGTTCAGGGGGAGGGACCGGGGTGTAGGGTTCAAGGAGCAGAGACCTGAGCGTGGCAGCTTCAATGTGGTGGGAGTAGTAGGGTTACGGGTCCCAGAACTGGATAAAAGGACCGGACTACATTGAGGAATAAGTGGGAAGAAATGGGGTACAGCTGGGAGGAGGGTATGTTGAGTTGGGAGCACAGAGGTTGGGCCCGGTTTGCTTTGCACTGGTGGGGATGGGGTGTGGGTTGGACCTTCGCAGGTCCCGGGAGCCCGCCTGAGGCTGGTCCCGCACTTGAATAGCGCCAATGCGCGCGTCCTAAATGGCTTGGCGGGAATGGTGGTGTCCCGGACCTTCCGTATCTCCCGGCCCTTCCACAGAAATCCCCCACGGACTCTGAGATGTGAAAAGAGGTTCCTGGTGAGCTAGTATTAGTCGGTGGAGAGACTCTGAGTGGGGTAATGAATGATTGATGCTCTAAAATAAAGTGTGGGGTGGGAGCCCGAGAGAAATTTTTGAGAAAAAACAAAAACAACAAAAACCCAGTGAGATGTTCTTCCTTCTAGAGCGCTTTGAGTTGGAAGAAGGGGGTGTGTGCTAGGATCACGTTTCTTCCCAGATTCATTCAAGTGTAGAATTCCTTTACGGTATATTTATTAAATTATACATACAGTGTAAAATCAGTTTAGATGATACAGTGAAAGAGTGTGCATTACGACTCTTAAACCTTCCACGAATGTAATTGAAAAACTAAGAAAAATGTTTTGATTGCCGCAGCATGAGGCTGAACACTAGGGATAGTTTTAGTTTCTTGAATATAAAACCTAGTGTCCCCTAAGTGTGCCTATGCATTAGGTTTTATTTTAGGAGACCGCATATGTTTGGGATATCGTCAATCTGAAGTAAAAGGAGTCTATCAGGAGTTAAAATCATAGAGAGGGCAGAACATTAGTCTCTGAGTCGCTACGACTGTTTTCTGGAGAGAGGTTTGCACTACTTTTTTTTTGTTAATTCTTATTCCTAGTGCAAACAATGGAATTTAATGAAACCATAAAAATTATTTCAATCTACAGATACAGCTTTCTGGTAATTTTGCTCACTATCTTTTGTAGGTATAAACTTGCAAGGGATAACCTCTCTTTTGATTATGTAACTGGATTTTTCCATGTTGAGGTTCAACAATTCATAAAATAATTACTTTTAAATACTTCTAGAGCTAGACTTGAGGTGTTTAGTCATTGAACCTATTTATTTGATATGTATTAGACTAAAACTTTTAATTTGTGATGTTAATGGCTGAACTTTAAAGTGCTTTTCTGAGGCAAAAGAAAGCTTATGTGGTTGGGTCCAAAAGATTTCTGCGCGAATCCATTAACAAGCTTTACTGGTTCTTATTATGTGTAGAGTACTGTGTGTAAGGCATTGCAGGGGGGTGAAAAGATTAATTCATTTATGCATTCCACAAACATTTATTGAGACTTATTTTGTGTCTAATTATTAAGGCTTCAGCATACAAGTAAGCCTTGGCTCTCTGCCTTGAAATTGCTCAGAGCCTAGGGAGGGAGAGTGATAGAGATACAAATACTTACAATGTAATAAAACACAATATATGAACACAGACTCAGGTTCTGGCCCTGAGGAGTTTACATAGTAGCTGACAAGACTAAAAAGAAAGAAAGAATTTAAAACATTACAAAATATTAAACAGATTCTAAACTGTATGCTGCATCAGTAAAACATATTACATCTTTCAGAAGAGTGGAAACTCGAGGAAATTCACAGGTCAGTTCATAATTTAATAGCCTTTTAAAAAGTTTATTTATTTATTTATTTTTAGAGAGGGGGGAGGGAGAAAGAGAGGGAGGGAAACATTGATAAATGAGACAGACATTGATTGGTTGCCCCTTGCATGCTCCCAACTGGGGACCTGGCCCACAACCCAGGCATGTGCTCTGAGTAGAAATTGAACGGGGAACACTGCAGGCCAGTGTTCAAGTCACTGAGCCACACCAGCCAGGGCTAATAGTCTTTTTAAGCATGCTTTTAAAATAAATATCACTGAACTTTTTTTTTTTTTTGGAGAGAGGTGAAGGGAGGGAGAAAGAGGGGGAGAGAAACATCTATGTGTAAGAGAAACATCCCTCTAGCCGGGGGCATGGCCTGCAGCCTGGCATGTGCCCTGACTGGGAATCGAACTGGCAATCTGTTGGTTTGCAGGCCAGTGCTCAATCCACTGATTCACACAAGCCAGAGCTGAACATTCTTAAGTTAATAATAATAATAATAATAATAATAATAATAATAGGCATAATAGCTAACATTGGGTGATTATTAATATGCCAGGTGCATTTTCTCATTTTCACAGTACTCTGCTCTTCAGCTGGTACTAATACTTCAATTCTGAAGATAAAATTGAAGATAAAAAAAATTAAGGAAGTTGCAAAAGATCACAGAACTAGGAAATGGCAGATTAGAGATTAGAGTTAGAAAATATATGTGACTGGAAAAGCAACACTCCTTTCTTTTGCAGGCAGGGAGCCTTGAGATGGGGGAAGGAAGGCAGAGATTGAAGGTGGAATTGGCCAGAAGACCAGATTTTAGTCTATGTGTTTATTCATAGATTTTCCTCTCTCAGATATTTACACTATACATAGGGAATAAATTTGAGTATTAGCATGTTGCTAAATATGAAATTTGAATTGAGTAAATTACCATATTCATGTTGTATATAATTGTATAGGGAGCAATACTTGGGAAAATGATTATAACAAGCAATTATTATATTTGCAAGCTTCCAGAAAATGATCATTTTAACAGTGGAAATGGTTATTTGTATTCATATATACTGCAAATGTTATTACAACAGACTTTAAAGGACTAAGTCATTTTTTATACTGCAGTTTTTTAAATTATGTTTTATTGATTATGCTATTACAGTTGTCCCACTTTTTCTCTCTTTACCCCCCTCCTCCCAGCACCCCCATTCCCTCAGGCAATACCCACACCATTGTTTATGTCCATGGGTCATGTGTATAAGTTCTTTGGCTACTCCATTTCCTATGCTGTACTTTACATCCCTGTGGCTATTCTGTAATTACCTATCTGCACTTCTTAATCCCCTCACCTTTTTGCCCACTCCTCTCCACCCACCTCCCATCTGGCAGCCATCAAAACACTCTCCATATCCATGATTCTGTCTCTATTCTTCTTGTTTGCTTAGTTTGTTTTTTTGGTTCAATTGTTGACAGGTATGTATTTATTGCAGTTTTATTGTTCATAGTTTTGATCTTCTTCTTTTTCTTAAATAAGTCCCTTTAATGTTTCATATAATAATGGTTTGGTGATGATGAACTTCTTTAGTTTTTTCCTTGTCTGGGAAGCTCTTTATCTGTCCTTCAATTCTAAATGATATCTTTGCTGGGTATAGAAATCTTGGCTGAAGGTCCCTGCTTTTCATAACTTTGATTACGTTTTGCCAATCCCTTCTAGCGTGCAAAATCAGCTGAGAGTCTTATGGGAACTTCCCTGTAGGGACCTGTTTTTCTCCTGTTGCTTTTAAGATTCTCTCTATCTTTAACCTTTGGCATTTTAATTATGATGTGTCTTGGCGTGGGTCTCTTTGCATCCATCTTGTTTAGGTCTCTCTGTGCTTCCTGGACTTGCATGTCTATTTTCTTCACCAAATTAGGGAAATTTTCTTTCATTATTTTTTTCAGATAGATTTCCAATTTCTTGCTCTTTCTCTTCTCCTTCTGGCACCCCTATGATGTGAATGTTGGAACTCTTGAAGTTGTCCCAGAATCTGCTTACATTGTCCTCATTTTTTTTGGATTCTTTTTTTCTTCTTATTGTTCTGATGGTTGTTTCTTGCTTCTTTATGTTCCAGATCATTGATTTGATTCTGGGCTTTATTCATTCTACTGTTGTTTTCCTATAAATTGTTCTTTATTTCAATTAGTGTATCCTTCATTTTTGACTGGATCTTTTTAATGCTATTGAGGTCCTCACTACATTCCTTGAGCATCCTTATAACCAGTGTTTTGAACTCTGTATCTGATAGATTGCTTATCTCCATTTTATTTAGTTCTTTTTCTGGAGTTTTGATCTGTTCTTTCATTTGGGCCATGTTTTCTCTTTGTTTTGGCAGCCTCCCTATGTTTGTTTCTATGTATTAGGTAGAGCTGCTTTGGTTCCGTTTCTTGGTAGTGTGGCCTAATGTAGTATGTATCCTGTAGGGTCCAGTGACACAACCTTCCATATCACCCAAGCTGGGTACTCGAAGTATGCCCTACATGTGGGCTGAGTATACCCTGTTCTTGTAGTTGAGCCTTTGTTGCTGTTGGCAGATCAATGGGAGGGATTTACCCAGGCCAGTCAGCTGCAAGGACTGGCTGTGACCACGGGCCACCAACCTCTGCCCTCTGTGTAGGATCAGCTGTGCAGGGGCAGGATGGTGGTGCTCCCATGTGGTCTGTAGCTGTTCACTGACTGCATAGGCTCTGGGATTTTGTGGGTGGTGCAGGCCAAGGTCAGCCCCAACCTGTGTTTTGCCTGAGGTGTAAAGCAACCTGAGATGGCTGCTCCTTGTGCTGGGCTTGGAGAGCCCCAGGTGAAGCCAAGCTGTGACTCTAATCTGGCTGCTGCTAGGGCTCACGGAAGCCAGCTGTTGCTTGTTTGATAGTTTTTAGGAGCGTAGACCAGCCATTCTTATGGAAAAGCAGCCTAGGTGGGCCCATAAGCTGGATGGGGTAGAGCCTCTGTGGACCTACAGGGTGGGTCACACAGTGTTATCCAGGTCGATGGAGTCTCTCATATGGC